GATGATTGCGGGATTTTTGTGTGCATGTGGGCATATTGCCATGCTAGAGATGACGCCGAGACTTGGAAAAAGGCGAAAACTTGCTTGATCAAAAAACTCCGTCCAAAACTAGCACTTGTCTTCTTAAAGCACCAAGACGTGGATAGAGAGGCAGTAGATGCTGATGCTTTGAACATATTTTGAACAATTTTTAAAATTATTTTTGATTATTTTTGAACAATCTGTTTTATGGGTGTTTTTGGGTTGTGATTGTCATGAACAAGTACTTTTAGATTAGTGTTTGCGTGCGATGATGGTTTTAAAACTTGTCCCCTTTTTGTGGTGTTGTGACACCTATTTTGAATAGTGTAAGTGTTTTGCAAATTAGTTTTTAATACTCTGTTAGTTTCTTGTCGATGCGTATAACCTACCCCATCTATACCATTACCTAAAATGAGGAATACCATAATGTTGATGACTTGAATTGCTCAAATTTGTTTTGCACATTTGTGATCCATAAGTTTGGGAAAGACATTAAATATGTTTTAAATTAAGGTTGTAAGGTTTTTTCAGGTTAGTTTTAACTTTGGGGTTCAAAATAGAAAGAATGTATCGAATTCCTTACAAGATACACTACTAATGTGCAAGGCTTCTATGTATAAGTGATTGTTTTCATCACAAGTGACCATATTCAACAACTATCAACTCCCAAGTTGTTTCAATTCTTGTAAATGAGTCACAAAATGAATAAATGAGGGATGAGATGGTTTTCTATGGTTGTATTGACCCCAAATGATACTATAACAAGGGTACTATTAGTAATGTACATAAGTACTATATCGTTGGCAAACAGATACAAAGCATTGGTTCCGTCCATCCATATACACGCCACCGATTATACTAGTCGTTAGACCAATCAACACCATAATATTGATGGCTTGAATTGCTCGATATTTTTTTATACATTTGTGATCCATAAGTGTGGGAAAGACATAAAATATGTTTTAAATTAAGGTTGTAAGGTTTTTTCAGGTTAGTTTTGACTTTGGCGTCCAAAAAGGAACAAATGTATCGAATTCCTTACAAGATACACTACTAATGTACAAGGCTTCTATGTATAAGTGATTGTTTTCATCACAAGTGACCATATTCAATACCTATCAACTCCCAAGTTGTCTCAATTCTTGTAAATGAGTCACAAAATGAATAAATGAGGGATGAGATGGTTTTCTATGGTCGTGTTGACCCCAAATGGTACTATAACAAGGGTACCATTAGTACAGTACATAAGGACTATATCGTGGGAACTATAATACGTAGATATTGTACGATCCATGCGTGAGTTGTGAATATGATATACAGAACAGTAGAAGAACAATAACTATCACTATATTGTATGAGTACATTTCTTACGAACAACAACAATTGATTCATCGATAGAGTTAATTTATTTGTAAGTACCCAAAGTACTTACACATTGACATTACAATACGATTAACGAGCTACAATACACGACACTAACTTTTAACTTGTATTGTTACGGTGATTAGTTAAGAAACAATACATAGGTTTGACAAATCATGTAAACTGCAAATATTACTAGGTTTAACACTATCAAACTTTGAATTACTCCCGCTTCATCTCTGGAATTCTTCACTTTACTTTCGCGATGAACTTGGTTCGTCGATCCACTCGTAGCTTCACTTTCTTCATATCGAGAATAGTTGTGGGAGAAAGTTTGCCCAATTTCAAATGGCTCACACCAATGAGAATAGCCATGGTCTGGGCAACAATAAAATAGCCTCCCTGGATTCAAACTCGTCTCCGAAACCATGATTATTGTTTTTTTCCCACAATCACGACGCTTGCAGTTATCTTTTTTATATTTTAAGCTACTCTTTTGAGAGTTGCTACTGGAAGAAGCCATGAATGAGAAGCAAATGAACATAATTACGTGCTTTTTATAAGTTCTGACGATAAAAATAACGGCTATATTATTGTAACGGTCATAAAATTCAAATCGATTCACTTATTATTCTTCTGTGAACCATATTATGTTGTACGTTATGCCATATCAACGTAACAACAATACTATTGTAACTAAAACAGTGCGCTCTATTGTAACTAAAACAGTCATATCATGGTACATACAAATGGATAAATAGTACGAAGTACATGTCAACAAAGTACAAACAACATAAAAAGAAAGTAGAAACAGAGTAGTGCTACGGGACTGGTTGTTTGCACGTACGGCGATTATGTCCAGGTTTACCACACCGTGCACACTTCGTAACACGGGTTTCGACTTGCGATGGAATTCTTTTCGTCCTTCTACGGCCTGGTTGAGCTTTCGATGCAGGTGGATTAATAAATACATCTTCCGGGCCATGATTTGTTTGTGCATTGTACAAATCAAATTCCTCATCGAATGAAGGAATTGGATTAATTGTGTACTTGTATACTTCTTTGTACAAATCAACCCAGAAGCAAGGATCAACAAATTCAAATACCGAATATCCTTTCGACTCAATACATGCACATGCATGTTTGCACGGAAGTTTATCCAACTGCCAAGATTTGCAAGTACAGGTCCTAGTCTCTAAATCAACACCATACGACTTATCCTCTTCATACACCTCATAACGCGTACCACTGGATCTGGTATATTTTAATAAGCGAAAGGCCGTATAGTTGATTAATAATCTCTTTTCAACTCTTGGACACACTGTACCAGCCATGACTAAAGAATCTTCCCGTCGATTACCTATCATCTTCATTATTTTGATTCGTATCATATCAATCATGGATGGAACTGGCAAAGATCGTTCATCTTTAACCCAACCATTCCAACATTCAACTTGGTTACTGTTCATTATTCCCCATCTATCCCCAGAAAAGTATGCATTGGCCCAACGATTGGGATCAGAGTCTCGGATAAATGATTCCGCACGAGGCATTGATTGAACTATATGAGATACATGTTCCTCAAACTCTTGCCGAGTAGGAGCAATTGCAGCCTTATGTAGAACACTCACCCAATATGCTTTGTTGTGCAATGGATACGATCTTAGAACCTTTGTTCTAAAGTTATCCTCCAAATGTCGCAAACAATAAGCATGGTTGCTACCAGGAAATACCAGTGGAATGGCTTTAATAAGCCCCGAATGACGATCAGAGAAAATTGTGTAATGTTTCAATAAACCCCCATTGTGATAAACTAGAATCTCTTTCAGCTTATTACAAAACCACTCCCAATTCCTATCATTCTCGGCATCAACAATTGCATAGGCCAATGTGTATAACTCATCATTTGGATCTTTGGACACAGCAGAAAGTAAGCAACCTTTGTACTTATTTTTAATATGAGTCCCATCCAAACATATCATTTGCCTACACCCACGGTGGAAACCCAAAATAGAATTTCCAAAACTAATAAAGATCCGAAGAAACTTTTGAGTTTGAGGGTCAATCTCATAATCGGCACAACTACCAGGGTTATTATGTTTTAGTGCACGACAATAACGTCTCAGTTTATCATAACAGCTCGACTCATCCCCATGAATGTCATACATTGCTTTCTCCTTACCTCTCCACGCCGTATAGTACTTAAGCTCCACACCGTACTTTCTTTGGACCTCATTCAAAATAGCAATTAGTTTGTAACCTGGCTCATCTCTCAATTTTTGTTTCATAAGTTCCGAAATCCACGTAGCATCGGCTTTTGGATGACCCCTTGTACGAAGAGTAGCATCACCACAACTGTGCTCAAGAATACATTTGCGAATGCCGAATAACTTGTCTGATTTATGAACTGATGCATAAACCCTCCATTTGCAATTTTCAACAATGCATACGGCTATGATCTTTTGTTGATCATTTTTCTTGTACTTAAAGGATCAATTGTTAGCAATGCAGTAATTTTTTAACATAAACCTAAAATCATTAGCATCTTTGAAAATTTGATTCTCCCCGCATATGCAATGTCTCCATGCATCAATTGAATCTCCAACCGGATTGTACTCAATTTGCAACGGACTGTTGGGACTAACAGACTCACTGGAAAATGCAAAAACAATGAAGCAAATTGGATTATTACAGTGGATTACAAATAAATTGTAACAATTGAGATAAGTACTTTGAGTGGTATGCTTGCATACGAGTACTCAATTTATAAGATACTTGATATACAATCATTCCATACTATTAGTAGTCTTATATGATACTT